TTTGCATTGGAAAACCTTTCCTTCAAGAATTTAAAGGAAAAAAACAAAACAAAACAAAACAAAACAACACCTGACGAATTGCCTTCCGAGAATCCTGATTACATTTGGTATTCCTGGGAATGTTGCCAGAGAAAAGGTTCTGCATGTTGCTGGGAGTTTACTTATCATTTACCATCCTCCCTAATTTGGATGATCTACTCTTTGAGAGTACATTCTTAGGGAAAAAAGCAGAAAAACCAGCTAGAATGTCTTGAGTGAGCAGACAGCATTTTGTCACAGAATTATGGAGAACAGAGTAAAGCAATCAAGTTGAATTAAATCCTTGCTGACTCTAAAATTTCACAGCAATCAAGGGTTGGAATTTACTTGAAAGAAGACATATTTTCCTATATGATAAGTATTTGATATAAAAGGTACACCTTCGTATCTTCTGTGATAACGCAGACATTATATAAATTTGGAAGATGAAGTCAAATGGGAGAAAACTTTTTACCCCATAACCACCAAGGGGAAAGCCAGTGAAACTAAGTCTGTTATGGTAATGACGAAGGCCCCTGAGACTAGCTGATTGTTTTTTTCTCTGAGGTTTGACTGGCTAGATCCTTCCTGAAGGCCAAGGCTGTTTAAAACATTTTTGGGTCCTCCAAGTGGAAAAAAAAGTCCCTGGCATATATTGGTGTTTTCTGAATCAAAGGAAAATAGACACATACTTGCATTCACATGATGCTCAGATGTCAAGCCAGTCCCTCTTCCACTATTACAATATTCAACTTGCTGCACCTTTTCTCTAAAGTGGAAGGTATTTTGCTCATAGCATCTCTTTGATTCTGTAGTAACTTGTCCTTATACCAGATTCTTCTATGAACTATAACTGCCACATGCATAAAGGCTGGTGTCTCCAAACTGACCCTACCTGTTTGAATATGGCTACAAAGTACCAGGATCACACCTGGAGTGCCAGCTTAAAGCCCTCCTTTATATGGAGTATAATAGACACATCACATCATATTGTAATACAGATAAACAACATAGCAAATCCATATTTGAATATGTCATGAGATGATCACCAGGGTTAGCTCAGCTTACATCCATGTGAAGAAACCTTTTTGACTTATGATCTTCACTACTCACTGAACGACACTAAGACTTCAAATGTTCAGTATCTATTTCTTGACCCTTCCTCCTATTCCTTTTCATCATAAATATCAGATACCCTTGCAGTGATTCTTACTCAGTCCCCATCAGGTAAGTGTATACAAAATAGTTACACAGAAAATACACACACACACCAACATGCCCCAGCTGCTGCCAGTTAAGATGTTTACACAAGTTTTTGCGCACACACAACTCCATCCCTCTCTTCACATTTGACATCTATACCAAACCCCTAAAGAAATTCTCATTTCTACCAAGAGGGGATGAATTTTCTGTTCACTTAAACTCCTATCACACTTTGTTTATATATATGGATCATTGCATCTATGAGATTGACCCTTATAAAATTATATATTCAAGTATTGCTCTTCATCCAACCATAATTTGTGAGCTCTTAGAAAGCAGTAATCGCATCATTCAGATATTCTTCAAAGTCAGACCCACCACAGTGCTGTATACATAGTAAATGCTTAAAAAACCTGCACTCAATTAAAAGAAAATGAGATGGAATTTGCAAGAAGCCTTGGAGTATTAGTAAAATATTAAGAGAGCTATGTTCAAATGTAATCTGATGGAAATTCCCTTTGAATGGCTGAAAGGCTTCAGACATATTGTTCAAGAAAACCCCAGCAGGGTAAGACAGAATCAAAGACCTAAAATACAAAATCGTGTCTCATTTTTTCCCAGTTGGAAAATTATTCAGTGCTTACTTAGTTGATCTAGCATGGGCAAAGAATAAGTTTTGTTTTTTTGTTTTTTTGTTTTTTTTTTTTTTTAGTTGCAACAGTTACTGTTTTATTTTTTCAATGTATTTCTTTTTGCCTTGACAAGTTTGATCTGAGTTGAGGAATACAAGCGAGACAAAGGCATACTACGTTTAGGAGAGTTACTTAACTACTTGGGAGGTCGAAGAAAGACCTTGATGCTGAGAATAAACATCAATTCATGCCTTTCAGAATCACTCCAGGCTTTCAAATAAAATCAAACTTTTATGAAAATTTCTGTGTATTTGTGTAATTCTAAAGTTTTCTAGCTAGGAACAATATATAGAATTTAAACATTTTGATTCTGTTTTTTTTTTCTTATGTTTAAAGTTAATAGCAATAATATACTTTTCTGACTTTTTATTTTCACTTTTTATTGACAATAGGACTAATCTACACCTCAAGATAAATTATATCCAAGTGGGTAAACAGGTGGACATGGTGTGGTAACATACACGTGAAAAGTTGTAAATCCATACCTCTAAACTTAGACAGTGTTGTAAACCAACATTACCTCAATAAAAGGTTAATTTTCAAAGTATTTTAAAAATAAGTCTTTTTTTTTCTTTCACTATAACACTGCAATACTTTGAAGAGACATGTCTTCCTAAAGTTGCTAGGGAATATCAAAATATCTTTGGTTACAAATCATCCCAAACCACACTTACTTGTGCTCAATCTTTAGTTTTTATGGGTTTATTTAGACTCAGGAAACATCATCGTTTCATTATCAACCTTGTAGTAAATTGTGGTTTAAACGATTACAGATATGGACAGAGGAAAAGTTATCAGAGCACTTGAAGGGGTAAAGAGATGAGGGAAAACAGGCAAAGATTCTTTTGAATAATCTTAATTCAGGGCAACTATTTTATATTACTTATTAATCAAATTGATAATGGACGACAGCACAATCACAGCTATTATCATCTCAGCTAAAAACAACAAGCTGACTTAGTTTTTATTTTTCTTAATGATCTAAGTTCATTATCCCCCACGAACAGTGACATCCACATCCACATCAACTTTGTTGAAACACTTGGGAAAAGTTCACACTTCACAATGCACTTTCAAGGACATTTGTACATTCACCTCTTTTTATTTTGTGCCACACTTTTTTCATGGTAAATACAAAATGTATTACCAGCAGCTAATGTAAGTCTTTCCACCCACTTAATTCTTACTCAACATGTTTACAGTCAGGTAAACAGAGGCTGCTATGATAGAAATGATTTTGTATTTCTCCACAACATACCCTAGGAGCAGAGATAATTTTCTTAGTGTAAAACTCAGCCTTTATTCTGCCAGGCAAAGTAATTATGGAAGCAAAACAAATCCACATTGTCTAATTAGGTCATTAAACAGCATAAATGCGTCATGGAAGCTTTTCTCCCTGTCTAAGACATAAAGTGAGACAATGAAAACAGCCTGGTAATATAGAAAGGTTTACAATTTGTTTCTTTTCAAAAAATAATAGGTCCTTTCATCTTTCTATTTCCCAAAGACGAAGACAGTTAATTTAGAGACAAAATCTGTAATTAGTTCAGGGTTGACTCTGATTATATTTCAAAATATTTAACCAAAAACAGGAAGATGGAGAAAAGAAGAAAATACACAGAGAAATTATCAAAGGAAGTGAATAAAATCAAGAGGGTGGGTTGCTGATCAAAATGCATTTTGCAGTGACAAGATGAATATAAAATCTACATTCATATAAACACAACCAATCTGGGATACCAGAAAGCTCTTAGGAGGAATATATTGGCATCTGCCTTTGGGATTTGAAACCAGACTTTAATTACAGCTAACTTAAATAAAAACAAATGGCATGATGATTTTGCCTTTTCCTTTCTCTACTTCCTTTTTTGAGTTTTAGAAAATTGCTAGTTCAAAGTGTTAAGAAATAAAATAACAAAAAGAAAAGGAAAAGAAACTTACCTGTGATCCTCTTGGCCCTCGCTTCTGGTCCCATTCTGAGTGCCCCATGAGCTGTAAGACAACATAACAATGGCAGTAAGTTAAATGATTACATTACATGGGCAATATTTTTACTCTTCCTTTTAAAGAATTATTAGGCTTTTGAAAGCTAGGCTTTAATAGTAATGTATTAAATAGCCATTGTAAATAACTTAATATATTAAAGTAATGCTGTCCTGGTTGGCTAGCTGATAGTCACCTACCAGTTGCTTGGAGGACATTTTAATAGCATTGGGTGACAGCAAAAACCTGCTGATGTATAGCTTACAGTTCCTTGTCAGGAACATCACAGATAGATGTGAAGCTTTATTTACATATTCACAAGCTTCTAGATCATTAGGAATATCAGCTACAGAAAAACACTAGAGGAATTTAATCTACTGTCATGAATGGGAACATGCAGAAGGTCAAAATATTTCAATGAATATAATAGCTTTGGTAATGTTGCATAAAAAAATGAAAGTTCTAAAGAATAAAATTAGGTAATATGAAGTACATGCCCAAAGTCACAGAACAGATTTTTATAAAAAGAGGCTACAAAACATTATTAAATTATCCTCACAGTGGTAATAATCCTAAGCTACTCTGCTTACAAGAGATCTTTAATGAAAATGGCTTTTAAAGGAAGACTACTAAGGAAATATGAGATATTGATTTAGAGAACAAACCTCCACTCATCTGTCCAATATACTCACTATACATGCAAATCTAAACTCAACTACTAACCATTTGTGAGCTAGCGTGACAAGAGACAGACTTGGTACAGTATGCACATACATTAGCACTTTTTTTCTCTATAACAGCAATAATTTTCTAGTAGGTATAATAAAAAATAACACTTCATAATAGAGACAATGAAAAATAATAAACCTTCAAAGTACACTATCAAGAAAAGCTTGTCAACCACACAATGAAAACAGAACCATTATTTATGGACACACCCTATTCCTGGTTAAGAATAGATTCTAGCTCCTCTACTGATATTCTAGATGCAAGAGGAAGGTAGTCAGGTGGAAGGGGCTCAACAAAGCTTGGTAGTATGTTATTGGGGTTTTGGTAGTATGATGCAAAAACATCCATTAGTAGAAGTTTGAATCTATAAGCCTTAAACAAATACAATAATGTAATCAACTTTGCCTCAATAAAAATGAATTCTTTTCAAACCTAAAACATTTACAATAAAATAAGCTACTGGAATTAAATAAATCATTAAAAGGCTGAATTCTGTAAAGTTATAAAGTGTTCAATTCTACCCAAACAAACTCACAAGCCTAACTCAATTTCAATCAGAAAACTGTATTTAAGAGATTGAAAAAGCAGGACTTAAATTTTAACTGAGAAATGAACTCAAAAGAATCAGAAAATATAAGACTTGAAATAAACTAACAGGGTAGTAAAACATGTTAAACACATATAAATGATGACTGAAGATTCAAAACATAAAGAGATGACATGTAGTGACAATTTTTAATTAACCTTGTAATAGCAAAATATGAAAGAGATGATACCAAGTATCAGTGGATATTTGATGAAAATTCAACAAGTGAAAAAAAGAAATGGATTCTTTGGAAAAACACCGAGTTGATTCTTATAGTATACATGAATATAATTATTGTTAGAGTAAAAGGCAATTTTAAAAAGACAAAATGTAAGGATAATATAAAATAAAATACAGGGAAATATTTAAATGAACTTGGAACATGAAAAAAGAATTACACCTAAAGAAATCACTGGTCCAATTCTACTGGTCCAGCTACACAAAATTTTTAAATATCTTTGTTCAAAAGTCCCATTTGGAAAATATCTGCAATAAATTCTAGGTAAATGATAATACCTTCAGGACATTGAAAACTCGACAAATTTGAAAGAAATATAACCAGGGCATATGACAGGGGGAAGGATAAGGACAATTTACAGAATAAACAAAAAAAAGTAAGTTCATTCATGGAAATGAAGATTTAAGTTAAAGAAAAAGATTGAGTATAAACAATAAAAAACTATTATTGCTTCTTAAATTAGCAAATTGGTGTTTAATTTGGTTAGGGTATCAGGGGGTAAGAAAGTGTGTGTGATTAGGTGTGTGCAACAACCACACATATAAAAACATAAGACACATACAATGTATGTATATATTTAATACATTTACATACTCTGAATTATTACCCTTAAAGCCAGAAAATAAAAATATGGTAGGAAGAACACGTTAATGGCTGTTAGGTTACAGAAGGGAAACTACCTAATAAATTATATTATAGATAAGATTATAATGTAGCAAATAAAATTTGGCTTTCAGGGTCTTCTTAAAAATATATAAGAAATACTCAATGCATATGCCTCAAATCAGTGAGAATGGCCCATATTTAAAAAAGAAAGAAAACTGGTGATAACAAATGCTGGGAAGGATGTAGAGAAAAAAGAACCTTCCTAAACAGCTGGTAGGAATGCATATTGATTCAACCATTATGGAAAGCTGTATGGAGGGCTCTGAAGCTATTAAAACAAAAACAAACAAACCAAACAACAAAAAAACAGAACTACTGTATGACCCAGCAATTCCACATGAAGGAATCTATCCAAAGTATAAAAAAATATTCAGGAAATCTGTACACCTATGTTTATTGCAGCACTATTTACAATGGCTAAGATATGGAAACATCCTAACTGTCCCAAAACTGATAAATGGATCAAAAAGATGTTGTATATACACACAATGGAATACTACTTGGCAATCAAAAAGGATAAGCTCATGCCATCTGCAAAAACATGGATGGAGCTGTAAGGCATTATGCTCGGTCAAATAAGTGAGAAGGAAAAGGAAAAACATTGGGTGATTTCACTTATAGGAGGAAGACAGAGAATCCAAATGAGGAGCTGGGAGGAAAAGAGACAAGATTGACAAGAAAACTATAAATCAGAGAGATACAAGAAGGTAGGGAAGGCAGCAAGGGAGAGGGATCAAAACAGGGAGGAAGAGCACAAAATACTACAGTGACATTTCATGGGCGATTTGATGGTGGGAATTTTATGGAGATTATACTTGAGAGGAGAAATCAAATGTTGTACAAAAATGAACAACGATGTAAATATATGTGCATATAAAAGAAATACTCATAATAGGTAAAAATAGATAACAAAATAATTTTAAATCACTCATGTTAAATAAGACATAACCAACTGTAAATCTGAAATAATGACAAAGATTTAATTATAGGTTGAGTAGCTCAGAATTTGGGGTAAATAAGCCTAGAAAATTATAATATAAAATTGAATGCCTACATAATTCATATTTCTTTGATGCCTTATTTAAAAAAAATCTGGATTTACTGGTATTGCACTTTTGCAGTAAATATTCATTAATCCTAATTTAAAGTTGATTATAAGGTTCACAAAAACTAATCAACTAATGAAATAAACAATCTGAATTAGAAACATATAAATTAAGAACTTTAATTAGTTGTTCACAGGAACTATGAAAAACAATTTTGACAGATTTCAATCCTCTGCCATATTGAGGTCTGGAGAATATCTTCCATTCATATTTTAAAGGGATAATCAGCTTGAGCTCTATGCTAGAAGAGAATAGAGTTTGTTAATTTGTTTTTTATTGGCAGAAGTCATTCTTTCTCCTACACCTTCAAGTTTATCTATTCTGAATAGATAAGTATTCTGAACAGAATATTTCAGAATAAGCTGAGTCTTATGACTATTGCCTTCCTATAAACAGTGAGATAGAAGATGAAGAAATTAAGAAAGTGATCACACTTACAATCATATAACAAAGGAGATGAAAGAACTACACAGGGAAAACTATTAGACATCGTTGAAAGATCTGACACAAAAAAAGTGGAAAACTATTCCCTGCGATGGCCTCCCTGGAGGCACAACAGATGTTAGGACTCAGCACTGCAAACTAGCTGCAGCAACTTCAATGCAAGTTCGATCCCCAGCCAGGGAGGTGATCTATATGGTGAGCAGACCTCTCCTGATGAGCCCGCTGCTCCCCTCAGCAGTGTCTTTGTCGATCTGCCTGTTCTGCTCCACACTCTGTCTCTGGTGAAGCCTCTCACTGCCCCTGCACCTCTGGTTTGTACCCCAGTTCTGCATGAATAAATAAATAAACCTTTGAAGAAAAAAAAAGAAAAAACTATTCCCTGCTAACAGTTTGGAAGAATTGATACTGTCAAAATGGCCATTTACCCAAAGCAATATACAGATTGAACACGTTCATAATAAAAATATAAATGGCATTTTTCAAAGAACTGGAATAAACAATACTGAATTTCATATGGAACCACAAAAGTCCTTGAATAGCAAAAACAATCCTGAGAGAAAAGACAGAGAATGGAAATATTATACTTTCAGACTTCAGATTGTAATATAAAGTCATAATAATTAAAACAGCCTAGTGCTGTAACAAAACCAGACACATAAGACCAATGGAGAATTAAGAGCACAGAATATAACCATACATATATGGACAGCTAATTTATGACAAAGGAGTCAACAATATACACTGAAACAAGAACAATCTTTTCAATAAATATTGAGAAAAAGAATGCATAAAATAGACAACTGGCTAATGATTTTAAACTGATAGGCTAATAGGATAACTCTGAAATCCTACTAAGTTGAGTATCACAATAAAAAGATCTAAATAAATCTTAGAAACCCAAACTGTAATTCACAACCCACTGATTTAATGGAGAATGTCTGACAATGTTAGTTAGTCAAGAAGGTAACATTTCTCCAAGTCAGGAAAAAATCACCACAACAAAAAACACCCCAGGATGGAATTCACTGCCCTTTGCCATTAATTAGCTTAAAGAGATTTTCAAACAACAGAAATATTCCAAAGATACATTCATTAAGTTATGAACAGGAACTTACAAAATATTATTCCAAAAATTAACTCTCTGAATCTGACTAATGAGGGATATTCTGGATAAAAGAATTCTACTTGACTCTATTAGTGTATATTTATGTTATTATAAATTAATAACATTATTAGATTA